ACAACTTTGCTGTCACACTCTTGTTACTTTAGTGAAATAAGTGAGACCAATTTGGCCCATTCGCAGCAGAGTTTTTCTAATGACTCGTCAAATTTCCGCTTTCAGCCAAGTTTTTGTTTGATGGGTAATCAGAATATGCAATCGACACTAAAAGTCACATAGCGAAAGATCATATAGTTTCGGAAGGCAATTACAGGAGGTTAATGTGGTCAACTCTCTTACAAAAGCAAATTATCCGGTCCCCCCGATATCCATATTGATCAATGCAGATCACAGAAACTCTCTTAACATAGTGTTTTTGATTGCTGCAAACCATCAGTTCAAAAATCGAATTTAATGTAGAGTTTAGCCGAAAACTAACCAAGCTTTAACGAAAGATGCCCTAAGTTCTAAGCTCTCCCACCAACCACAACGCGACTTAGTACTGGCATAAGGTTACTTCGCAGGAGATGGGCAAGCACCACGAGAAGAAGTACAGAGACTAGTCGAGTACTGCAACAGGAGCAAACTAGCGCTCCTGATTGGAATGCCCACAACACCATCTGGGGAAGTACCGATACAAATCTAAAAGATGAGCAACTGTTAAAATTTGTCTTTCAAATAAACCTAAATATACTAAATGTAGGAAATACACCAACATTTATTACTAGGCTCAGACAGGAAGTGTAAGACTTCATAGTCCAAATATTGACCAAATGATCAGGAATTGGAGAGTCTCCAATGAACCTTTTCTCTCTCTGATCACACATTCCACCATCCACCTGGATGTGCGAAACGCTAGCCACCAGAACTGCAGAAACTGACGTGGATGAAAAAAAAACCATACAGGTCACCACCACTAGAGGATGTCCTTAGGGAGGGGTACTTTGATGTGGAGTCTAGTGGTTGATGACCTGCTAAATGTACTGACCAATAAATATGCCGATGATATTGTAATCATGGCCAGAGGCAAATACGAAGGAATACTCTAAGACCTTATAGAAAAAGCACTTCGAACCGCGAAGGAATGGTGTCAGGCAGTGGGGCTGAATCTAAACTCAGCACTCAGCAAAAACCATACCGGTAATATTCACAAAAAGAACGAAACTTCTAAAAATCTAAACTTCTCTGGAACCCACATGTAGGGAACACAAAAGCAAAGCCATTCCGGCACTCATGATCTGCAAAATCATTGCGGGTAAAACATGAGGTTGTAACCCATCAATCCTAAGATGGATATATACCATGATAGTGAAACCTATCATCACCTACGGAGCGGTAGCCTGGTATAGCCGGACCCAGCTAGTAATAGCTAGGAAAACTCTAGGAAAATTGCAAAGACTCGCGTGTCTCTGTATAACAGGAGCAATGAGATCATGCCCAACCGCGGCACTAGAAGTCATTCTAGACCTCACACCACTCCCCATAATAGTGAAGCGGGTTGCCAGTGAATCATGTCTCAGACTGGAGAAGACATGTCTACAAAGGGAAACACACGTTGGCAGAACTTTCCCTCTCCCAAACTGTGCATACCTCATGGATCTACCAAAAGACGTGATTGTTGATAAATTAAGTTTCGAGAAAAACTTTTCCATCGAACTAAGTACAAAAAATAGATGGAACAGGGAATCTATCCAATCCCTTAGAGCAAACACCATCAAATAATACTCGGACGGTTCTAAAACTGCTCAGGAAACTGGAGCCGGAATATTCAGGCCACGGACCAGATAATTTGGAGATCGACAATGGGGAAATCACCAAGCATATTTCAAGCGCAACATGCGATCAAAAGATGCGTGCTGTTCCTCCTGAACAGAAGTTATCGGAAACGAGATATTGTAATAATGTCTGACAGCGAAGCAGCTATCAAAGCATTGAGATCCCCAGTCATCAATTCTAAGACAGTATGGGAATATCTACAGAAACTAAATGAGCTGGAGAAACAAAATAAAGTAACCCTCCTCTGGGTGCCCGGACACATAGGGGTTGAGGGCAACGAATGTGCAGACAGACTCGCAAGAACGGGAGCGTCTACTCCAGTGTTGCCAAAGCTACCCCGTTCGGGGTAGATCTACCCCTTTTGAAAACAATCTCGCCCTTCCGCTCCCCTCAACTAAATCTACCCCGCTCTATAAATTCAATCTTTGCTATAACATAAAAAGAATGCTTCTGCTTATCGCTAATTAAAGATAATTTCAATATCCAAATTATGAGAAGCAATTTATATTTATTTGACTATATGCAACTTTTTTTTTTCCACGCCTTTTCGCCTATAATAGGTTTGTTCCAACCAATGGTTCCAACCCATCAACAAACAGTCCCAGCACCACTCTGTATAAGAATTTCGGTTTGTGCGCAAAAATTTTAGGTTTTGGCGGAGAATCCTGACGGTAATATTACGGTTTCCTGCTGGATTCGAATAAAGCTGATACAAACTCACTTAGAGATTCCTTTCACTGTCTCCTTTGAATTTGTGTGGTGATTGATATTATGTAGTTATTTACCTAACAAATGCGGAAAGTGATAATTCATACGCATGTAGGTACAAAATTTTGACTATATCATTAGTAAAGGTTAGTCTACTTTACCGACCGCACACTTTGCAGTTTACTTTACCGCAGACTATGCGGTAAAGTAACTTTACCGCACGCTCGTAGGTGAAATTTCTGCTGCTACCCCGCACCGATTCTATTCTACCCCGCTATCTTGCCGTAATCTGCCCCGATGAAGAAAGAGCTGGTGGCATTGGTGGCAACACCTACTCTCTTCACTGGGCCAGAACCATTTTGCGGCGTCGGAAATACGCACCTCAAAGAAATACTCAAAAAGAAGAGAACCGGCTAAGGAACAAACAATGGCTAAAACAGCCAGGACTACGACAGGCCGAAGATGTATTGGACAACTTCAACCAAAAAAAAACTGCTGGTCAACCTTAGCAAGAAAAGTGTCCAGTCTCTAACCGGGTTTCCATCAGGACATTGCAGATTTAAGAAACACGTACAGAAGTTGGGGTTAGAAGAAGGCGGCACCTGCAGATTTTGTGGAAATGGAGAAGAGACACCTCACTATCTTCTATTGAACGGCGATGCCGTAAGTGGCTCAAGGATGAAGAACTTCCAGCCCTGGAACCGCTAGACATCCTAAAGTTCCTAAGGGACCTAGGACTGGAGGAGCTGCCTTGAGCAGGAAACTCGAACTCAGCAGCAGAAGGAGGGGTAGAATAGATCAACCATGGTCGCGGTGCAACTAACACCTCCAACACACACATACACTTACACATACACAAGTTTAAAGCTCGAAATATCAGTTTCATATATTCAAACCATCAAATAAGTAAATCGCTGAAAATCAATTACCAACACGAAACGTTGAAAAATGACTCCGAAGCGATTTACTTCAAATCGAAAAGCCATTTCAGTCAATACAGTCATTTTCCAATATAGCGAACCGAACTATGCAATTTATTATCTTTTCAATAAACTACACTAAATAAATAATGTTCTATATTTAACATAAATCCGCTAAACGCACACCCATAAACGTTGGCCAAGAATGGCCTTGCACTGTGAGAATACAGTGGAAGCCACTTGCCGCAAACTCATTTTGTCGGTTGTATTTGGGTAATAACGTTTATTATTATTGCCGCTATTGATATTTACTATTATTTTATCGTTGTTTTGCCTCTTATTTATGACATTGTTAGATTCAGCGGGAAAATTTAATTATGAACATCTTATTTAATTAGGAATATGAAAAAATTGAAGCGGAATAAGTCAGTCTCGATTCGAAACAGCTAATTTGGCCCGGACGGTAATCAATCGTGACTCAAGAAAAGTAAAAGTAGCAATCGTTATAATCGACCTAATAGATCAGATATAGTTGCGAACACACACACATACATACACATAATAAAATTAATTGAACAGGTACAACAGCTTTAACAATTTGTTTTTGGTCGAAATTGGTTCTCACACTTTTCAAGAGAGTTTTTGCGTTGTGAGTCTCTCAAATTTCTGGTTTTTGAAAACTTTTTTGGTTGTACAACCAAAACTCTTCAAATTAACTATATGGAGCAGGAAACATTATCGAAGGTGATTTTTTTCTATTTGTTTAGATTGTTGAGCTATTAACTTTTTTTTCGCCTCTCCAACGCTCAAAACGTAATTAGAAATAATTATCTAGGAAATTAGAACGATTTTAGTTTATGGTTTGAAAAGATAATTTGAGATAATTTTTTGACTAACGGTGTAGTTTTAGACTTGTGAGTGAAATATGGGCACTCAATGAAATTTACAGCTTTGTTGGAGATTTTAAGAGGCTTTGGTAATGAGATTTTACAATAATTATGTTTAACCCGGTTATAGGAAACTATTACATATTTTGTGATATTTTCATTAAATTGGTTGCTTTTGGATTTTAGGCCTCAATCATTTGGTTTTATCCTGAGCTATCTGGAAGCAAAAAAGTCAGCTGTGAGTTTCATTTTTTCATAACACTGTTGTTTTGGTCTTTCCACACACATCATTTCTCACACACATCATTTCTCACCCACAGGAGCGAACTGGTCACTTTATGCCTAAATTCTTCATTATTCCTGGCTATATGACTGGCACAGCTCTATTTCAAGGAGCATATTCTTCTTTCTGCACCTATAGCGAAATGAACAAGGTGATATATTTTTTATATTTTGGTGTTTTTAAAGAGCCTTAAGTCAAGGTACAGTTGACTCAATTTACTTAATTTTCTCTTCAGAATCATTCAGTTACTGTTCAATTGTGAAACACTTAAAATTAAGAACCTTATCTTTGAAAACTCTACAACAGATCCCTATTAATTGATGTATTCTTTTACCATCAGAGCCCACAATAAGAATAACAATAGTTTATGCGCATTTCAAGAAGTGTCATTACGCCCACACCCCCACAACCGGATGAAAAGAACTTTTTTGAGCTTCAAACTTGACGTTCTTTTATTCTCACCTGTAATAAATTATACATATTTTAATTCAACTAAATACCAACCTTGCATCCTTCACAGGTAAAAGCTCCAAAATGAAATCCTGCAGCGGGTTCACCGCATACTTTGCACAGTTGGTTCATCTATAATAAAAAAATTTAGATGAGTTTTTGAAGCAAAAAAAATAGAGTGCAATAATGATAAATAGGTTTGTTTTTCATTTAAGATAGGGCTTGTATTCATAATCATTCAAGATGGAACAATTTGTTATGGTTTAAGTGATTTATAGAATCGAATTTTTGGGGCAATGTTTTGTACCATGACATGTAGGTACTCCATCCTATTGTAAGACTATCTTTGTCTTACGTGTACCATGTAACCATTGAATAATAAATTATCTGTCACAAAACTTAAGTATGGCCAAGGATGAAGCTTTTCTCGACTTAGGGTTTTCTTCTGGGCTTTTTCTCAATGTCATGCGTCAAGAATAATTTTTTCTCAGTCATGAGTTTAGGTTGTAGCACTACAATTTAGGTACTTCTACTTCGAATTCAAGTGACAATTTGAACAACATTTTCATTCTTTATTTTCATAATATGAAGGTTAAATTTATATTCTCCGTATAAAATATTAGATGTTTTCTTTTACAATTTCATGTCGGTTTAGCACTTCAACGAGTGCAAGTTTAATACAAAGATGGTACTTTTCACCGTTAACTTCGAACCTTAAAACGTAGTCCCAACGATAAATTTGTTACATCAACTGCAATTCCAATTCCTGACAGCTTGCAAAATTCCTCACAAGAAAAGCGATAATACATTCCTGCGCATAAATAGACATACCCCGGGAGACTTGAAAATCAAAACAGTGTCGTCACCGTCGGTCTAGAATGCCCAAGACTGGTCGAACGCTTTGCGGCACCCGATTCATCGCGACTTATATCTCGTTTAAGACGCATAAAAAGTCGATATAAATGTGAAACTCGATCGCTTTTATTTACCATAAACGATCGGTTTTTTTCAATGGTATTAGTACCATAATCAATGGCAGTTTTAGACACGTACCGACTTAAACTAGAATTAAACTACACTTAAGCGCAAGCCGTGGTATGTCGACGACGAGAATACCGAAACCGTACCCGAGCATCGAAGAAAAGCTCGCGCGTGGCCAAGAATAACAACTTATCACAGTTTTTTTCCACTATTTATTTAAAAAAAAACTGATACATACAACGTTTTAATTAGGCAGTTTAATACCAAGAGAATCCAATAAATCTTAATTAAAATCGAGCAGCCAATAAAACCAATAATTCTAATCAGGAAGTAATTATCATTTAGTGATGAATCTGAAAGTTATTCTTGTTCTAGATCAGACCGTTTGAAGATGAACACTGGACAACATTTAGTGTTGGTTCTTGAAGCAACAATACGTCTTGCAGGATGTGCACAAATTTAGGCGAGTATAAAGATCAAGTTGGCCTTTTCAGATATTTATATTGAAGTCTTGACTAAAGAAGAACGAAGCCCTAATCAAAGAGGATCGGGTTTGGCTAAGCCAAAGGTTGTTGGGAAGAACACCACGATCTATCGCAATACCACAGAAAATGACACGGGCTTTGAAAAAGACTCTGGATGCCGATGAGAAGTAGTTCCAAGAACAGAGAAAGCTGCATGCAAATTGAATTGACCATTGCAGAGGGATTGAAATGACCAACATATTTAACTTCTAAAGTACAGAAAGTGCATTTCTTCTTGTTCACCTGCAACTTGTAAATGCGTACACGGTTGAAAACATCACTCAAGTCTTTAATGTGTTGTTCAAAAGTCGTGGATAAAATTATTAAGTCATCAAGGTATCCTAACATCTGGATATGCAGCAAACCTAAACAAAAACGGTTTATTAGCTTTTGAAACGTTGCTGGAGCTGTGGATAGACCAAAAGGCATCGTCTTATATCGTCCAAATGGCGTGACAAAGGCGGTTTTATCACGATCTTCTTTTCTGACAGGTAATTGATGATAACCACTCTTCAGGTCTAAGGTGGTTATATAGTTAGATTTTCCAGTTGAATGGATAAGGTCAACGGGTAACGAACATTCTTGGTGACAGCATTCAGTCGGCGATAATCAACACAGAGATGTGAAGTTCCGTCTTTCTTCGGTACAAGGACGACTGGAAATGCGTAGGGCGATTCGCTTTCTACAATGATATCGCTGGCAAGAAGTTTGTCAAGCTCCTGAAGCAAAACTTCTTTCTTCGCAGGAGATAAGCGATATTGTGGTGCAGCTATGGGAATATCATCAGTGATGATGATGGTATGGTCAGCATATGGGGTAACTCCTGTATTTTCATCGAACAAATCCTTGTTATGTTCCAACAGCGATTTCAATGTCACTTCTTCAATATTGGAAAGAATCGGCAACGACAAATCATTCCCGTTAACAACAAACAAAACTGCGTTGGAATCGATAACTTCATCCTGTAATGGCAAAGAATTGGTTGGATCATCATTGAAATAGTATATCTTCTTAGGTATATTGAGCACTATATCGAATTGTGATATGAAATCAACATCAAGTAAAGTCTTACTATCTTTGTAGTCTGGAACAGCAATCATTTGCAGTTTTCGTTGTTTATTCATAACTTCGATGGAACACTGGTATCTTTGCTTCAACTTCTCGGGGTATACCATCAGCAAATACCAGTTTTATTGGAGCAGTTTTGAATGGATGCCGAATAGCGTCTAAGTGGCTTAACAACTTTGAACCTGCAATACTGCATCTTGCTCCGGAATCCACAAAAGCAAAACCTGATTTACTTTGAATGATGACAGGTATCATGGGGCTTAAAGGCGGACCATCAAACGTTGATAACAAACTGGAAGTTTCACCGAGATCAGCAACGAGCATTTCGACAGAGGAAATGGTTGTTGGTGCAGGTTTGCATTAAGGACAATTGGAACGAATATATCCTGGATTACCGCAACCATAACATGTAACATTTGTGGAGGACGGGTTACTGGATAGGACTTTTAGGGCAAAAGTAATGGACGAGGCTTTTTCAGCAGACTTGGCTTAAAATTTTCTACAAACAGCTTGAACATGTCCATATGCTTTGCAAAATGCATACCGGTCTTTAGGCTTTTCTGCAACGGACGTGGACGTCACTTTTACCTTGGATTCAGCAAGGCTGGATTCGATTGCTCTGCATTTGTCGATCATCTCCGAAAAGTTCTGGAAACTATGTCGAGGAAGTTTTTTCCTGATTCTATGGTGAAGGAGTCCATAAACCATTTCTAACTTGTGCTCCTCTGCCGTACTGCCTTGTTCTCGAGAAAACAGTTCTCTCTATAAATCTGATGTGCTGGTTTGTTAAAGCCAAAAGCATGATGTAGCGCATCTAAAACTTCAGTCCATAAGATGTTTGGCTTTTTGGTGCCTTGCCACCAAACTGCAGCAGCACCATCCAGTAGTATGGGTAAAGCTTTTACAGCGTTATCGTCACTGATGTTCAGACAGTCTTTGTAAATAGTGATGGCATCAATAAAAGCTTCAGCATCTCCGTCTGGCTTTCCAGAAAAGCTAGAACCGCATTTAGAAAAATTGGCAGCTGTACTTTGGATCGCAGTAGATTGTGGCTTATTCTGAAACATATCTCTCATACCAGCGAGTAATGTTTGTAATTGTTCATTCGTCAGATCAACAGGGTCACCCATTTTGTCTTGATTTTTTTGGGATGATCGAAGATTATAAGGTATATACAGGAAAATCCAGCTTGAAGTAAGCTAAGTGATGAAAATATAGTGTTGAGAAACAGCAAACTCGGGTAAATCCTGACAAACAGGCGACTGTAATGTAGGAACCCTTTGAACAAACTTGGACGGACACACAGGAAAATGTGATGTGGGTACAAAATGGAGGACAAACTTGAACACACAGGAAACTGTAATGTCGGTTTGTGTGGAATATTCCAGAAATTGTGGGTACAATATCCGAATGTGGCCAAACTTACACAATTTAGTCAATAAATTCACATTCACATACTGATAATGTCTCGCGTTCTATAGCTCATTGATCTACAGTCACAAAATTAACCCAGAAAGTCATTGGGGTGGTGGTTCACTACAAAACCCCAGGCCCCACGTTGGGCGCCAAATATGTAACGGGTATCGAAGGGAACTCCAACACTATGCACTACACATGTTTTTTAATAATGTTTTTTTTTTAACAATTAAACTGGAAAAAAAAATACAGAGTCGGCAAAATAATAGCAATAATTACTGATAATTGATAATGAACTTGACAACTTGATCGGGGAAACTGACTGATGGCGTCGCCAGGGTAGGCATTACAAGGCTGGAATTTTGGCGGAAGTTTTTTATGGAAGGTTAGTCAATTATTAAACTCAAATTTAAAATGGATAAAAAACAGAACATGTTTTATGTGAAACCATTCGATGGAACCTCTTTTTCGAACTGGGAATTCAGAATAAAATTATTATTGGAACAACAAGGTGTACTCAATGGAACATTCCCAGATCCTACAAATACTGTTGAGTATGAGAAATTCCAGAAATCAGATGTGAAAGCTAAAGTGTGTAGCTGACAACATTTTGGAAATGTTGAAAAATAAACAAACAGCAAAGCACGTTATGGATACTTTGAGCAACACTTATGCAAGAGAAGGAATATCTACACAGGTTGTTCTGTAAAAAAAATTAAGGGGCTTGCAATTTATGGAGGATAAAACGCTAAATGTGTGATAGTGAGATGATTTTGCAGTTATTATCTGCTATGCCTGAGTCTTTTCAATCAGTAACTACAGCTATTGACATTATGTTCGGTCAGAATCAGTCAGCAGTTACAGCAAACTCAAGTGCGGAGCTCGATGTTTAATGTTTGATTCGCAGCTTGAAAAATATTTATGGGTTGAAGCTACTTTAACATCAATATATTTAATTTATAGGACAATGACTACATAGAGCACTGAATGACAATAGAACGGCTGAAATTTGGCATGGAGAGAAGCCTGATTTTGAGAAAATTAAACTTTTTGGTTGTACCGTACATTGGGGTTACTTTGCCAAGCAAAGCGTCTATTATAAAAATAAATGTTTTTACGTGAAAGTGGCAATATTGCAAGCCT